GCAGCAGCAGCAGCAGCAGCAGGTGGAGGTCCGTCACCAATTTTGACTGGCGAGGCTTCATGCGAGCCTTACTCAGCCTTAACCATCTCTGACTGCTTTCGCTGTCTGTGCTGCTGCTGTTGCGACGAGGTGCACAGAACTTCGGCCGCTACAAAGACTCAAAGAAGCATAGCATTACATTCAGACATGGAACAGCGATATGGCGGCTGCTGAGGGCAAGGCCGGGCTTGAGACGCAATCTTCGCAGATCCGATCCAGGGGGGGCGAGCAGGTGGGTTGCGTTGCGTATTTACATCTTTCCTTGGACCTTCTTGACGTTGGTGGTGGGCCACTCGTACGACTCGTTGGTTCGCTGGTAGCCGTAGCGAGCGATAAAGTCGTTGAGCGCGGCGGGTCCGCGGCTGCCGTACTCGTAGGGCTCGTTCTTGATCTTGCCGGCGTCGATGGCGTGGAGGAGCGGCGTGAAGATGGCCCACGAGACGTCGAGCTCGTCGTCGCGCACAAAGTTGGAGTGGTCGCCGTTGAGCGCGTCGAGGATGAGCGCCTCGTACGCCTCGGGGATGCGCACCTCGGAGAAGCGCTCCTTGTACGTCAGGTCCAGGTCGGCCGGCAGCGTGGCCATCTCCAGGCCGGGCTTCTTGGAGTTCATCTTGAGGTACACGGCCTCGTCGGGCTGGATGCGGATGACGAGCTCGTTGCGCGGGATGTCCTTGAAGAGGCCCTGCGGCGTGTCCTTGAACTGCACGCGGATCACCACCTTGGCCTCGTCGAGCGCCTTGCCCGCCTTGAGGATGAAGGGGACGCCCTTCCAGCGCTCGTTGTTGACGTAGAGCGCCATGGCGGCAAAGGTGGGGCAGTTCGAGTCCTTGGGCACCGTGTCGTCGTCCTTGTAGCCCGGCTTGCCGTTGGCGGCGGTGTACTGGCCGATCAGCACGTCCTTCTCCTGGATGGCGGGCACGGCCTTGAGCACGCGCACCTTTTCGTCGCGGATGTCCTCGGCGGAGAAGGACTTGGGACGCTCCATGGCGAGCAGCGAGAGCACCTGCGAGAGGTGGTTCTGCTGGATGTCGCGGATGATGCCAAACTCGTCAAAGTAGCCGCCGCGGCCCTCGGTGCCAAAGGGCTCCTTGAAGGTGATCTGGACATTGTCGACGAGCTTGTTGTTGAGGCCGGCGTCGATGAAGGGGTTGCCGAAGCGCATGATGAGCAGGTTCTTGACCATCTCCTTTCCTAGGTAGTGGTCGATGCGGAAGGTCTCCTCTTCCTTCCAGAGGCCCTTGAGCGCGCCGATCATCTCGCGGCTGCTCTCGAGGTCCTTGCCAAAGGGCTTTTCGATGACGATGCGGTTGTTCGCCTTGTCCGAGTAGCAGTTCTTCTTGAGGCCCTTTGCCACCACGGTGAATACGTTGGGGGGCAGCGCCATGTAGAAGAGGCGGCTGGGAGCGTCGTGCTTCATCTTTTCGGACTCGATGCGCTCCATCTCCTTGTTGAGGTTCTGGAACGACTCGTCCTCGTCGTACTGGCCCGAGATGTACTGGCAGATCTTGAGGAAGCTGTCGACGTCCTGCTTGCCCTTGTCATCGTCGACGTTCTTGAGGTGTCCGGTGACCTTTTCGGCGAAGGTGTCGCGGTCCATCTTGGTTCGTGCATAGCCGATGATGTGAGTGGTCTTGGGCAATAAGCCCAGACGGAAGAGGTTAAAGAGCGCCGGGAAGGTCTGCGAGGGCCGAAGGCGAGTGAGGAAGAGGAGGATAGGGATGTCAGCTTGGGGGCCTTGGCTAGCTTGGATGCGCGCAAGGCTGGGCCACGCGGTGAGCTCAGCTCTGAATACGAACCTTCTTTTTGGCAAGATCACCCGAAGCGCCGAGGACTGTGAGTGGCGATCCAGACGCGCACCGGGAAGAAGAAGGAGAGACGGTGAGTAGGTCTGAGCTGCAGCCGGAGCGACACTGTAATGCACTTCAGATACTCACCTACGATGATGGTGTCATTGTCGAAGGCGGGGGCGTTGGAAGCAGGCATGACTGTGACAGCGGGTCGCGGCTTTCACCAGGCGAGCGGACGGGGATCGGAGCGTTGCGTTGCGGGGTGCCTTAGTACGAAAGCGTGAGGCGAGAGAGCGTCGACCGGCTGCGAGCACGTCTGGAATGGGGCAGGTGCTGTGCGGAGCTTCGAGATTGTTGCGGGATAGGGATCCAGTGTGAGCGAGTTGCGAGAGGCGTCGATGGATCTTGCCGAGATTGCGACTGCGATGGGATCAGAGTGATGGCGCAGAGGAGTTGGATGGTGGATGGGCGTGGAGGAGCAAGGAAGAACGGGCGAGGCTATCCAAAGCCCCAAGCGATGAAAGCCGAACCGCAGTGGAGTCAACGGCGGCGGTGGGGCCAATCGAGCCAGAAGATTTGCGTGGCCGTGCAGTGAGTGCTGCTGCTGCTGCTGCTGCTCCACTCTCACTCTGCACTCGCTCACTTTCAGTCACGCCGGCTGGTCCGTGTCTGTCACTTCGGCTTAGCCCCGGCGCGAGCTGAGGCTGACCGAAGAGTGGAAATTAGGATTTTGAGCGAGCGCGAGAGCACCACCGGGCACGGACGCCCGCAGCTGCTGTTGCTGCTGCCGCTGATGGAGATGTGCGAAATTCGAGCAGTGACGTTGTGCCTTCGGCCACGCGCCGCGCAGCCAACTCCCAGAAAGCGAGCTCGTTCGGCTGCCGTCTGTCTCTGCCTCGCTCTGCCTCGCTCTGCCTGTAAGCGCGTTAACGTCACCGCAAATCGCTGCTGCCGTTTTGGTGTTGGCTGACCTCCTCAGGATTCCTCCTCGCCAATTGCTGTCAACAATTGCAGCTGGTCCTTACAAAGTGGGGATCTTCAGCAAAAGAACAGGACTGCGGACCCAGAACCCAGCGAGAATGAAGCAAGAGCGGCGAGCAAAGGCGTCGAGTCAGCAGCAACAACAACAAGAAGGGATTGCCGGTCAGATTCAAGCTGGCTTTGGCTTGATCGGGAGCGCGGGCCAGTGCAGGATCTCGCAGGATGAGCTTTGAGAGAGAGAGAGAGGTGCAGCTGCAATCGATGATTGCCCTCCGATAAGCCCATCAGCAGCTGCAGCCGGAAGCGCAGCAAGGCGTGATCTCGCCCTCGCCCTCCACCTGTGCCTCCACCTTTGGGCCTTTTTTTCTGCCCCAAATTGTTGGCTGCAAGCTCGTCCCCGGCAGAACTCCGAGACTGAGCCTCGCCTTCGAGTTCGGAAATATCGCCCATCGCCTTCGCTTTCCAAAGCAGCAGCAGCAGAGCGACTGTGCGGCATAGACTCAGGGCGGCGGCGGCTCGGTGCCTGAGCTCGTCGCAAACATGCTGGCATTCCAAACGCAAGCTCTAGGTTGAGTACCGAAGTGGGATCCGAACCCAGCAAAGGCTAGGACTGGTGGGGTGGGGCGCAGCTTTGGAATCTCACAGCCAAGCCGCGGCGCGATTTCGGTCGGCCCGACCGGTCCACTGCAATAACGCTTCGGACAGCGGACCGGTGCGTCGAGACACAGGTGGCCGCAACGGCACGCATGCTCTCGTCTGTCCGGCAATCTCTTTGCCGCCCTGCACCGCATCCAGATCAGCTCGCTATCGGCCCACACAACACTGGGATCGGCGATGTCACTATCTCGTGTTTGCGTAGCAGCAGAGTCGAATGAGTTGAAGAAAGGGGCGCGCGGACGTTCCGCTACGCCCCGCTAGCTGCGCCAGAAGCGCGTGCGTGACCTCGAAGCCTCGTATCATACGAAGACATGGTGTCGAGCATTGCATCAAAAGGCACTGGCTCTACAGGGCACGCTTAGCTGAGAAACGCCGCGACATTGCTACCAATGGCTTCGAGCCAAGCCGGCACCGCCCGAATTTCGATCAACGGCGAGCGCAGAGGCCACGACTCCATTTGCACCAACATGCACGCTCGGTCCTTCGCTGGGGCGTAGCCGACCTGTCTCCGCTCGTGTGTGCATGAGCATCGTCTCGAATCTTGGTCGCAGGGGCCTCCGCCCGCGCTACCCGTCCTTGTCGTCGGAAGAGTGAAAGCGCGAATCGTGGCGCCCCGCTGCCAAAGCTGCCGCAGCTGCGTCCCCTATCGCCCACCAGCGCTGCAATGGGCGCGCGCTCGCCATGAAGCATCACCCCCTTCACCTGCGTCCCGCTCCGCCCCCATCTCGAATGACATCTTGGGCATCGGCTCTGTCGCCTGGCTGTCGTCCAAGCTTGAATACAGCCTAGCTGCTCCAATAGCTTATCCGCAGCCCCGCTCATGCTGCCTGTTTGTTAGTCCGCTTCATCGTGAGCCCGTGCCCATGCCTTTGCATCACGGCTTGTTGCTCTACGGCTTGTCGCTGAGCTAGCACAGGCCTCTCTGCCTCTCCCCGTTCCATACACATCGTCGATGCTGCCGTGCGGAATTTTAGTATTCTAGTATGACGTGCATGCTCTTCTTGCACCCGCTTCGATGGCGCCTTGGCATTGTCGCCCGCGCGACGTGTGGCGATCAACTACCTCCTATGATCTTTCAAGCGTCGACCGTATCGACCTCTCAATGTTGCCTCAATGATCGGCAAGACTGTGAGCCTGAGATCCGCAATGCGAGCTGCCGGCGCCAAATCTCTCTCGGCACTGAAATCCGTGCCGTTGAC